AAACAGAGTGCGCTGCATTCCCTTCCCTTAGTCTTCATTGTGCATTTGGTGGTTAATGGTCACAAGGTGAACACTGAGAGCATGCAGTTACTCCAGTGTACCTATTTAACACTATTATACTAGTGTTAAGTTCAGGTTTAGCATAATAAGAGAAAAAAAATCAGTCCAAATGTAAAAGCACACATGCATGCGGTTTTTAAAACAAAACACACTTTTCCCTCACAACACTGACTGGAGCATTTTCTCTATTTTTTTACAAAGTGCAACGTTTTAATCATGTAAAAGAGGGAGAGCAGAGATAAGAGACACAGACCTGAAGTTTATGCATAATACTTGCAGAAAACATGCAGCTGATCATCAATAACTCAATCATACGCGATCATGAGAAGATTCTGGCAATTTCTGCCTCAGCATCGTTTCCCTGGACTAGAATTTTCACTTAAACATGAGGCTTTCAAACACGCGCACAGACACACACACACACACACACACACACACACAAAACACATCTGAAATGAGCCACAAACAACCTCACTTTTGTCAGAAAGCAAGCAATTTTACTCAAGGACTTGTCAATCCTGTGAGTGTGCAACCGGATATTGAGCCCAGATTTACTGCCCATAATCGCATGAAAAACAAATTAACTATTGATTAGTCATACAATCATTTCCTGAGTGTACTGGATTACATCAAGTGTAGTCAAGTGAACATAACATCCCAACAAAACAGTCGCAGTCAGCATGTCTTTAATCGACAAAGTCGTTGACTGTTTCTCAGACGGACCATCTGGCTCATAAAAGCAGCCAGTCACTGGATTTGATTGCAGGACTCCTTCGGTTCTAATGATTGGATGTAACTGTGTTACATTATCTGTCTGTGTAATGTGTTCCCTGAAAGAGTCGTGTTTGTGTTTTGGAAATACAAGTCGTATACAATATTTTCAAGGGTGGAACATTTGTACAGCATACATCTTTATTGACTTTGAATATATTCCATCCACTTTGTGCAATGTACCAGTACCACTGGCAGCAGAGTCATGCTGTACCACAGGATGATGCTATCACCATGCTTGACTTTGGGTAGAGCATTTGAAAGACTGACTTTTGCTCCCATAACCATACCTTTTGTTATTGTGGCAGAAAAGCTCTCTGTCTTTGTCTTGACTGACCATAAAACTTCCAGAAGGCATTTAGTTTGTACATTTGGGCAGCTGCAAATTACAGTTGAGCTTGATGGTGTTGATTTTGGAGCAGGGCCTTCTTCTTTGGTTGGTTACCACTCAGTCCATGGCGAGGTAAAACTGGCTTCGCTGTAGACAGTGACGCTGGGGTTTCAGCAGTTTCCGGTTCATGACAGACTTGATCCTTTGTGGTTTCTGAATTGTTCTAGGCCATTGTGAACAATTTCCTCTCATCTGAAGGTGACAGTTTGGGTGTTCTTTCAGACCTTGGCAAAGTGGTGTCACACCCGATTAACTGTTAGCTCTAAGAGATCTTCCCAGCTTGTGTAAATCTAGCTTTCTTTCTTAGATCTTCACTGAGCTCCTTGGACTTTTCCATTGTTCTGAGTATTGTTAGTCCAATGAGTGCTGTCAAATAAATCCTTTTTATGTTGGCAAAGACAATCTGCATACAGATGAGGACAGAATTATTTGCCACACAGTACAGAAAAAGTAGGAACCAAACAATTTAAAAGAATCTGGAAAGAAAACTAACAAAGATGTTATTCCCTGCACGGGAATGGACTGCAACGTTATGGACCAAGAAAAACTCCACATATAGTGTCAAAGTTCCCAAGTCCTAATTCGAGACACCATCAAAGCTGGTTGAGAACAACAGGGCTAAAGTCCTGTGGGACCAGCAGCTGCTGGTCAACCAACCAGACACAGTGGTAGTTAATAAAAAGCAGAAGACTGCAGTTGTGATAGATGTTGCAATCCCAGCAGACAAAAACATCAGGAAGAAGCAGCATGAGGGAGCAACAGGAGCAGAATTGGAAGGTAAGTTCTAAAATGGTCCAAAATGTTCCTGGTAACAGGAGCGTTGGGAGCTGTAACAACAATACTAAAAGAGTGACTTCAACAGATTTCACGCACAACAACAGAGGTCTCTCTCAGTAGGGAACTTATAAGCAATTCAAATTCAATTTCTTCTTCTTTATTCTTGGACACTAATAAAGTTGCTTAGCATGATTCGCAGTTCAAAATAATCCTTATTTATCATATACCGTGTCTTGGTTCAGCCTCATATGTTCCTTTAAGGTCCCTGAAAAGCTGCAGCTTGGTATTGTAATTCTGCAAAGGCTCTTGGCCACCGCTGAAACAGACCATCATGCAACACCACAAAACCTCAAACCCAAAAATCTCAGCTCCAGTTCATCTGTTGTCCGTGGTGATGCATGCACATTATGATCTCATTAAAATGTTTCCTTTTAGCAACACTAACAATAAAAAGATCACCTCGATAGCATGATGCTTCATTTCAAGCATCCATTTGAAATCCTACTGTGGTGAAAGTACCGATCTTAATGATAATAATAACAAACACACCTAATAAGAGCACATTTTTAGTAGGAAATCACTCTAGTTTCATCTGAATCACTGTGAACAATATAAAGTAGATGTAAAAAAATAAATAAATACGAGTATAGAGTATAAATAGAAGTGTCTAAAAACTTTGTCCCAAAGTATAAAAATGTTAAAGATGGATTGTTATGGAGCTGTTTTATTGCTCCCAGTAGATGGTCAGCAGGTTTAAGTCATAAATCCATTCTTTAGAGCTGCTGTTTTTCTTTGCAGCCAGCAGCATTACCATCTGCCTTTATTTGATTTGATTTTTTAACACCATACAGTAAAAAAATAAAATAAAATCAACTCAAACATATGGAAATGTTCAGCAGCAACTCTTCTGTTATTCACATCCCTCCAGCACGGTAAAACCCATCTTTTACCGTCCTTCTCTCTCTCACTCTCCCTGCTCATTGTAGGTGTGGGTCTCTTGGCACTGTTTGTGCTGAATCATGAGGATATCAAACAATGACTGGCTGGACAAAACTGACAACTAATGAAATAACTTTGTGGGAGTGTGACACTCCGGGGTGGGGTGGGGTTGGGTGGGGGTGCACAGTGACCCCTGATTTCATTCTGCTGGGCCTATGGCAGGCCGATCTGCCGGCCAGCTTGGACACTCTCGGTGCTGTTGGCAAAGTTTCCACCCCTGGGCGTCCCGTATATATTGAGCTCATTGTGCCATCACAAACACACTGGCACAGACAGGTACTGGTAAGGGGATCATGTCCGTCATGCTGTATTTTATAATTTTTTTTAAATATATATATTTATCAGTATTTGTCTTCTTTTTGCCACTGTAATTTAGGTTAAATCTTAAAAACTTAGAACAATAACAGCAAACAGAATCAATCAACAGCTTCTCAGATTTTAAAAAAAGCTACCAAGAAAAAAAATTACAGAAATACCTCAAAATTATTCAGAATTATACTTTTACCTGTTTCTTTTCAGCATCATCCTTATCCATTCAATATGGCCACAGACCACCAGAGTCCTGCATCCAAGCAGCAGCAGCCAGGCACCAGTGCGTTTAAGGTGAGGGAGGACAGGCGCACACTGGCAGCGAGACCAGTTCACATAAGTTCACATGAAATCTGTGCACTCCGTATTTGCAATTGTTTATCTTCCAAAAAAAAACACAACTCCTTTCAAGAGCTAAAAAAGAAGAAGAAATTTTTCCTCTTTTCCAGCTGGTTATCTATGAGCAGGAAAACTTCCAGGGACGCTGCCATGAGCTGACTGGTCCCTGTAACAACCTTCAGGAAGCAGGCGTGGAGAAAGTGGGCTCCATACTGGTGCTGTGTGGACCGTGAGTGTGGGTCAGAGACAGACAGAGAAAACTAGCAAATGACCAAAAAAAAGAGGGAATGGCATAGAGAAAAGCAATCAAATTTAATGTGTGATAAGCAGACAACCAACCATCTTTCCAGCTGAGCCCCTGCATCAATCACAGCCCCATTTGTTGTTGTTGTTGTTGTTGTTGTTGTTGTTGTTGTTTTTCTGTCTGCTCAGATGGGTGGGATATGAGCAGGCCAACTGTAAGGGGGAGCAGTATGTGTTTGAGAAGGGCGAGTATCCTCGCTGGGATTCCTGGACCAACAGCAGGCGTAGTGACACCATTGTTGCATTCCGCCCCATTAAAGTGGTAAGAGAGATTTACAAATTTATACCTCCATCCCATAATCAGCTGCTTCACATCTCACCCTTGGCTTGCTTTTTTTTTCTTCTGATTTATCAGGACAGCCAGGAGCACAAGATTGTCCTTTACGAAAACCCCAGCTTTGCAGGGAAGAAGATAGAAATCATAGATGATGATGTCCCCAGCTTTCACGCACACGGCTACCAGGAGAAGGTCTCTTCTGTTCGGGTCCAGAGTGGCACGTGAGTCCATCCTCTCAGCAGGTGCTGTATATCATAGAAATAGCTGCCACATGCCCTTTGACCTCTAATTGGCTAACATTTGTTTCTCCTCTCTTTGCTTGTGGTGCACCAGCTGGGTGGGCTACCAGTATCCAGGCTACAGAGGCTATCAGTACCTGTTTGAGAAGGGGGAGTACAAGGACACCACTGATTTCGGAGCCCAGATTCCTCAGATCCAATCAGTCCGGCGCATCAGAGACATGCAGTGGCATCAGAGGGGTGCCTTTCATCCCGTCAACTAAGCTTGTGACTCTCTCCTGTCAGGAATCCTGACCTCAGCATCCTCTGCTCCCTTTCTGGCAACAAACCCTTTGACCTTCATTTACCACCACCATGCAGCATTTTGATATCAGCTGAGGCAGTAGTAACAATCTTTGAAGCAAACTAATAAATCCTCATTGCTTACATTTGACTCAATCATGGGATTGTCTTCTGTTTTTCCCCTCCACACAAGTCCTTCAGACTGCAACACCTGAAAAACAGACACCACCAATGCATCTAAACTGTGCTTAAACCACCAGAGTATATATGGGTATTGAGAAGGCATTACATGGGTTGGTTTGTGCACTGGTCGACTCCGACCAATAGGCTGCGCTGTAGGGTGTTTACTGGAGACGTCACTTCCTGTTGTCCCAGTAAAGAAGAGGCAACATTACAAGATGAAAAATATTCTCCTGCTTTAGCGTGCTAACGGTTTAATTTTTAAAAGCTATTATAGTAACGGCATATATTATCCCCACATTCCCCGGATACTTTGGTAAGAAAATGTTACAATGTACAGCTCACGAGTTAGCTTTGCTAGCTAGCTAATGTTAGACCACGTTTAGGTTTTGTATGTGTTGTACTACTCTTAAATGTGGCATGTCTTGAAAATATAGCCTGATAATCCACTAATATGACTGAAGTTGTGACTAAGTTATCCGCTTATTTCTTTGATTGAAGTAACGGGGTGTTTTATCGACTTTTATGTCGATAAAAATGAAGCTAATGTAGTAAGAATCCAGCGTATGAAGTAAAGTTTCTTATTCTTCAGGGCTGACATCTCACCTACCTGGCTATGTAAGGAGCTGTAAAAGTGTTTTTAAAGCACTTACTAGACCATTAGACTAAAGCCAAACTTTAAATTGGGATTTTCAGGTTACAAAACGAACATGATAAAGATCACTTTAAGGAGATCAGCAACGAAGAAGTTGAGCTTTGTAGATTTGTATGGCTTTGACATGAAATATTTAAAGTATTTGTTATATTAATTTCGGACATTATTGTTCTTTTAATAAACCACCTTTCCAACAGTCAAGATGCCTGTCCAGTGTAGCAGCTGCTCTGAAAAGCGTGCCGTGCTTAAACGTCCAAAAACCGGCCACTCTCTGTGTAAGGAGTGCTTCTTCTGGGCCTTTGAAGAGGAGATTCATCAGACCATAGTGTCAGCAAAGCTGTTCAAACCCGGGGAGTCTGTGGGAATCGCTGCCTCCGGGGGAAAAGATTCCACTGTGCTTGCACATGTAATGAAGGTCCTGAATGAGCGATACAGCTACGGCCTTGAGCTCATGCTTCTCTCGGTGGATGAGGGAATCACGGGTTATCGAGATGACTCCTTGGAGACTGTGAAGAGGAACCAGCAACAGTATGAGCTGCCTCTGAAGATTGTGTCCTATGAGGAGCTGTATGGCTGGACAATGGATGCTATAGTGAAGCAGGTTGGGCTGAAAAATAACTGCACCTTCTGTGGCGTGTTCAGGAGGCAGGCGTTGGACAGAGGAGCCATCATGCTTAAAGTGGACAAGATATGTACAGGTAGATTCAAATGACTGAAAATGTGAGCAGTGTTAGCTTTAATGTGTTGTTTTGAATAACGAGATGTCTCTGTTTTGTTTTCTTTTTTCCCTCTGCATAGGTCACAATGCTGATGATGTGGCAGAAACTGTTTTGATGAACGTCTTGCGAGGGGACATAGCTCGGCTGCGCCGCTGCACCACCATCTCAACGGACAGCGAGAACGAAGGGGTCGTGCCACGCTGCAAGCCCCTTAAATACGCTTATGAAAAAGAGATTGTTCTGTATGCTTACTTCAAGAAATTAGACTACTTTTCTACTGAGTGTATCTACTCTCCTAATGCTTACCGTGGCTATGCAAGAACCTATTTAAAGGATCTGGAGAGTGTGAGGCCCAGTTCGATCATGGACGTTATTCACTCCGGTGAGAACCTGTCTGTGCGCGAGGGGGTAAAGATGCCTGTCCAGGGAACATGCAGCCGGTGTGGCTACATCTCCAGTCAGAAACTGTGTAAGGCATGTGTGCTGTTGGAAGGGCTGAACCGAGGTCTGCCAAAGCTGGGAATAGGCAAACACCACCGCTTCCATGATAAAATCCTCTCCCAGCAGCCACTTACAGAGGAGGAGGAGAGAAAGCTGAAAGCAGTAGACTTTTGAATCATAAATAATGTTTTTGTTTTTTGTTTTTTTTTAGAATAAATGACATTTGTTGTCTTTTATAGGAGAGCGATCAAATCTTATCTTTCCATTTCATATCATTGAAGTATTTATTGACTGTTTATATGGAATTTTAATTTGAAATGCTATGTAGACTTTTTACACTTTATACAAAAGTGTGTGACCAGCTGCTTTTGTTGTCATTTGCCATCTAAAAAAAGACACATTTGAAGGTGCATTTACTTTATTTTTGTATGTCCCAGTGTACCAACCTTTGGGGAAGGGTCTGATAACAGTTATGGTCATACTTCAAAGTATTTTATGATCTATAATAAATGCATTGATCTTTATCTTCAAACTTGTCCCAAAAACTTGAGTATGCAGTCTGATTTGTTGTGCCTTTCATGATTCTAATGGTATAATGTTTATTCTTCTCTGAGGTTATGTGAACAGATATGCACTACATGATCTAGAAGGTTTATAAAAAATCACGGTTGCTTATACAGCCATGACATTATTTGGATATTTGGAGATATTTATTTTAAACGTGTAATTCCGGTGTTTGGCCGCTAGATGTCCCTCATCACCGCCATTCAGTCGGCGCGCGCCCTGGAATAGTACACACAAACTGCCGCGCGTTCACGAGAGCCATCCTGACTGACCAACTTCCAGGGCAGCAGTGCTGGTGAAGTTTGAAGGGGAAAAGTCAGATTTCACAAACCATCCGGAAGGTCGCCAAACAAAAAACTGACGCAGTCCACAACTAGGCAGCAGCTATGGACGATTTAGGTAAGTTATGAGGTTTTTTTTCCCCATATGTGGGTTTTCTGCCCCCAGTTTGGAGCGGATAGCAGGGTGGAGGAGTAGTCAACGTTACGAAGAGATTTTATGCTGGCTGTTTGTCCAATGTAGCTTTCTTATCCAGGGAAACTTGCGAATACCTGACAGAAATGTTACAGTGACGAGCGAAAGAGTGAATGTTGTACCGACTTGACTTTCTCCTCACACTGTTGTAAAATAAGCAGCCTAGTAGGTTAGCAGCTGGACATCGCTAGCCTTTAACTCTACCTACTTTTTAACTCTCCCTCTCCGAGGTGAAGCGAACGTCTCTGGCAATACCACGCCGCCCTGCTCGTCTAAATCAAGGTCTTTTTTATCAGTATGTGTGCCGGAGGGAGGAGTAATTTAATGACATTTTGACATTAAGCCTTAACATTACCTTCTCAACTTTTGCCCCAAGGCTACTCATTCCAGCTTTGAAGTGGTAGAGTCAACAGGCCTCCCTGTACAATGTGTGCTCAGCCCTGGCCTGGCTGACTTCTAGTGATCCTCCAGTGTGACAAACTTAACTTGCAGGGATGTATAATTACTTGGTATACTGGTACACTTTATCGTTTTATATCAAAAACTAAAAACTGAGGTATAGGAAGCAGAAAGATCAGGTCTGAAAACTGTTTGATTAGACATGTGCAAGTTGAGAAATGCTGTAAGAGTTGGACAATCAGTACATCTTTAGGGATCTCCTGATTGGGAAATTCTATGCTGATACTGATAATGAGCTCATATTCAAACATGTGTTTATTTACCTAGCAACGAAACCTTCATCATAAGAAATAACTCTGTGCTGATGGAGACTTTAAACTGTCTTTAAACATTTGTCACACACCAGATCAAACAGGCCTCTACCATTAAGCCGATATCTTGATGTATCCCTGACAATTTTGCACAGGAAAATATACAACATGTTTGTTAATGGCCGAATGTCATTTTCTCTTAGCTGCTTCACATGTCTGTCATGACTCTTTGTGCATTTTCTGTTTTTTGTTTTGTGTTGGGAGACACTGTCTCTTAATAGAGACTGTAACTTGTAGCTGAGGCTTTTTTCAGTGTCTGTTAATATAACTGTTATTTCTGGACTGGTGTGGCATCCCCTTGTATTACTAATGTGATCATCACAAGTCATGAAAAAACAGTGATGTCATCAAATAGCTTGTGGATGACTTTAACTGGTTAATTTTATTTCTTTTAATAATTTAATCAGTTTTATGAATCCTTTCATCGGTACTACAGGTTTTATCTGCCTTTTATCAACGCCAGTTCTCCTGACGTTACCAGCTTCATCTTTTTTTTTTCTTGTTCTACTTTGGCCCCACTTTTAACCTTTAACCTCTGAGTTTCTAATTATGTTACACTTTTAGCAGCTGGCAGGTTTCTATATTTGCATTACTAATTCAGTACTTGTGAAAAACTTGTTTCACCAGTCAAATATCTGTAGGAATCTTCTGATCTCTGAAAGTAGACCAGCAGTGAAATGGATTTGCGAATTAAGTGGAGAGATGATGGGCCGCATTTCCCATTTGTCTGTTGTGAGAATACCTCAAGGAGCCATTAGACACTCTCGCTGCCTTATGAGGCTGAAAGGATTGATTGTTGGTTGAGAGGGAGCCTGTAGGCTCGCTGAAGGGCTGACGGAGGGGGCGAGGCTGCTGAGGAATTTCGACCATCACTTTCTGACACGGTCCAAGGCCGAAAACTCTCTGGGTCACGACTCGCCTCCTGTCGCTACTATCTGAGAGAGGGATGTTGGTTTCACACGTGTCTCATTAGAATATGGGTACCCTAGTAATTGCAGGCACTGTTTAAAAAAATTTGACCTTTGGGGTTTGGTTGCTTAACAATCGCAGTCATCCCACATCCTCCCTAAATACACAAAACAAGTCAGTGTAAATATTTTTAAATATCACATCACTGAGGTTTACTCTACTGCTATTTACCTGCACCTGCAGGTCCTGATATTCAGGGTCACTGTTTGAATACTATGTTTGTGTATAGTGATCTGGTGTTGCTCACTGCTCGAGGTAGAGAATTCCATCAACAGATTGTAAGCATTCTTCCCATTTGTTCCTCTGAGTCAGATTTTTCCAGAGGACCTGCTTGATCAGTGAGTTAGCACAGATCATACAGCACAAACTAGAGATGGGATCACAACAACCATGAGGCCAAAGATTTCCCGGACTACACCCATAATGGAAAATGTTGTTTATACACCAGATGTAGATCCTTAAGGGGAGTTACAAATACATTAACAATGCAAAAGGCTGTGTGACGGGGGCGTAAACACACATAAACACCTGCCAGGGTGTTCATAGCCATCTCAGTTGTAATTACTGCTGGAGTAGGTGAATCAGGGGTCGTGTTTGGCCATGATAACAGACAAACACAGTCATACTGTTGTGGCTGGTTACCAGGTGGCAGCCAGGCTTAGCCTTCACTTCTGATGTGGCCAAGGGGGCGGCGACTCATGCAGATGTGGCTCTTAAACCACATGTGACGTAGTGTCCTCTCTGTTGGCTCTGTTGTGCTGCATTTCATGTTTGTGGGGTGTGTGCAGCTAACATTCAGCTCTCTGTGAATTCCTGACGATTGTGTGACATTCAGGCACACTGACCTCACTCAGTGAGCTGAAAACCCCCTGTTCCACCTCTGCATGTTAAGAATGCGCATACTGACCTAATACGCACGCATGCAGTATGCTCAATGGTCACAAACAAAGTGAGAATAATATTGAGTAACAGAATGTACTTTTTGCTTGCAGTTTCCCATTGAATGGTTTCTTTGTTAATTACTAGAGAATCAAACTGAAAGATTAGTGACTGGACACAGAAGGGAACTTCTCCTATATACTGCATTCTTGTTAAATATATTATTTTAAAGTACAACAGAAACTATAATTCCAAGGGCCTAAAGGCAGCTTCTTTATTTTTAGACTTTGTTTTGCAAAATCTAGGGTCACTCCCCAAAGCTGTTAGTACTCATCATAGCTTTTTTGAATATATGTCCACTTACTCAAATTGAAACCAAACTAATGTTGGCAACCAGGATCACTAGGAGTCCTTTTGTTTGTTCGTCCACAGATAATGTCAGTATGTGTACACTCCCATATAAAACCTTGTTTTCTTAATCCAGGGCTGACCAAGTAAAACATTGACGCAGTTTCTTATGATTCTAATTTTCATTTACAGGTCCTTCTAGTAAAGCTTAATAATATTTAACTTTTAAAAAAACAACACTTTTTTTTAAATTTCAGAGAGACCACTTCATCCCCTGTGTAAAGCTTTTCAATTCAGTTTTACTTTATTTACATAACGGCAAGTTACAACAGCAGTCACCTGAAGGAGCTTTATATTGTAAGATAAAGACCTACGGTGATACAAAGAAACCCCCAAATATCAAATGACTCCCTATGAGCAAGCGCTGGGTGACAGAGAGACGATCCAGCAGGACCAGGCTCTGGGAGGGGCAGCCATGTGCTGCGAGCAGGTTCGTGGAGACGGGAGGAAGACGGGACCAAAGACGGACTTCTTGAGGCATCGCATCCTGAAATCCCAGCTTGTGCTGATTGATCAGTTCAGTCCTTGGAAAAACTGCAAGACTGGTTACATAATGTATAGGTCTTGAGGTTTTGTAGACATGACAAATAACTGTGTGATGTTACCTTGTCTACCATTTTTCATATGTAAGACCATGTGACGAAGGCCCCAGTCACACAGTCCACAACTGGTCAGTAGGTGAAGGATTCCTCTGAAGTGATTGATTGAATGACTGATTGATAATAGACAACTGAAGTAGGCAGCTGTAGAAACCAGCTCTGAAATCCTGGTATTTCTCTGAAATCCACCTGAAGGATGCCTGCGTAATCCGCACCTTGCAAAAATAAAGTCACTGTTTGTACCAAGCCAAAGAGAGACTTATGAGAGAAGTTTCTCTGTTACACAGTGCACAACACTTTCTTGCAACGATGTTACTATTTTTGAAACTGCTTACTTCATTCCTCCACAAATTTGAGAACCAAGTTGAACTTCTTTAACCTTACTGTGGCGGTGGAGCAGTTTTCTTTGTTTTTGTGTGTGGTTTATTTTTCCTTTTGTTTTTAAATGCACGGTCTATAGCAGGGCTGCCCAATCCCAGTCCTCGAGAGCTACTATCCTGCAGCTTTTAGATGCATCCCTACTCCAACACAGCTGAATCAAATG